GTTGTGCTTTAAGTGCAAGTTTACAGTTCAAGTTAGTCTCATACAAAAATTTACACATACATTGTTATGTGACCCTAGTTGCTCTCCCTACACTGTGACAGCATGCTCCTCCCTTCTACCTCACATTTCCCATATCCATTCAACCAGCTCCTAACCCTCTCTGCCTTCTCATCTCGCCTCCAGACAGGAGCTGCGCATTTAGTCTCATGTATGTACTTGAGCGAAGAAGCATACTCCTTAATGAGTATCATCTTATGTCCCATAGTTCAGTCTAATCTTTGTCTGAAGAGTTGGCCTTGGGAATGGTTTCAGTTTTGGGTCAACAGAGAGTCCAGGGGCCATGTCTTCCAAGGTCCCTCCAGTCTCAGTTAAACCATTAAATCTGGTCTTTTTACTAGAATTTGAGTACTACACCCCACTTTTCTCCTGCTCCATCAGGGACTCTCTGTTGTGTTCTGTCAGGGCGGTCACTGGTGGCAATAAAGTATTTTTAATCAAGGTGTGTACACTGTTTTTAGACAGAATGCCACTGCACACTCAACAGACTACCAAAAAAAAAAAAAAAAGAAAATCTGTTGCTGTCAAGTCGATTACGACTCCTAGGAACAGACTACAGTATAGTATAAACATAATTTTTATATGCACTGGGGAACAAAAAAATTCATGTGACTTGCTTTATTGTGATAGTCACTTTCTTGTGGTGGTCTGGAAGCAAACTCACAATATCTCCAAGGTATGCCTTTATAAAGTAACAGGTATCTAATGTATTGTGGGGCCTTTAACATATAGAAACGTAATATATTTGCCAATAACAGCACAAAGGAGGTGGGTGGGAGCAACACTGTAATAAGCTAAAGAAATGACTACAAATAGAAAAGTAAAAATTATGAAAATGTGTTGTTGGGTTTGTGACATTCATAGATGTAATACACATAGCAATGCCACAAAAAGGGAGAGAAGGAGATAGTTATACAGGAGTAATCTTTCTATATATATATATCACTGGAATTTAGTTAGTATAAATCTGAAACCCTTTTTGATAAGTTCAAGATGTATATGGTAAAGTCTTGAGCAAACACTAAAAAAAATAGTGGAAAAAAATCATTAGAGAAATTAAAATGCTATACTAAAAAATAGTCACTTAATGAAAAGAAAGCAGTAAAGGAAGAAAGAGGAATAAAAAAGATATGAGACATACGGAAAACAAAAAGTAGCAGATGTAAAATCCCACTATCTCAATAATAAGATTAAATGTGAATGGATTAAACAATCCAATCAAAATGCAGATTGTCAAACTGGACAAAACAGTTACCGAACTGTATGCTCCCTACAAGAGATGCACTTCAGATTCGAAGATACAAACAGACTGAAAGTAAAAGGAGAGAAAAAGACTCAACAGAAGAGCAGCAACCACAGGAAACCTGAAGTGGCGATCCTAATACCAGACAAGATAAACTTAAAAATGTTACTAGAGATAAAGGAGAACATTTTATAATGATAAAGGGTCAATCCATCGGGAAGATGTAACAATTATAAACATACATGCACCTAGAATACACAAAGCAAAAACCGACAGTAATGGAGAAACAGACAATTCAATAATAACAGCGGGAGACTTCGATGCCCAATTCTCAATAATGGATAAACAGACAGACAGTAATGAACAAGGAAACAGGAGTCCCGAACAATTAAAACCAACTAGACCTAACAGACATCTATAGAACACTCCATGCAACAACAGAAGAATATACATTCCTCTCAAGTACACATGGAACATGCTCCAGGATAAGCCATTATAAATAACCAATAGATCAGAGAGGAAATCAGAAAATACTGAGTTGAATGAAAATTAAGACACAGTATACCAAAACTAAAGGATGCAGCTGAAGCAGTGTTTAGAAGGAAATTCATAGTTGTAAATGCTTATATTAAGATCTCAAATCAATAACCTAACCTTCCATCTTAAAATACTAAAGAAAGAAGAGCAAAGTAAACCTGTAAGCAAGCAGAAGGAAGGAAATAAGAAAGAATCCAGCAGAAATTAATGAAATAGAGATGAGAAAAACAAGTAGAGAAAATCACTGCAACCAAAAGCTGGTTCCTTAAAAGATCAACAACAAAACTGACAAATTTTAAGACTGACAGAAAAAATAAGAAGAGGAGAAAAGATTCAAATTACTATGATTAGAATCAGAAAAGAGGAGAAATTATTTCTACCTTACAGACATAAAAAGGAATAGTATAAAAATGTGTATACTAACAAATTAGATAACTTAGATGAAATGTACAAATTTCTAGAAAGACACAAGCCAAAAAAACCAAACTCGTTGCCATTGAGTCGATTTGACTTATAGTGACCCTATAGAAGAGGAGGAAACACTCCCATTTTACGAGGCCAGTGTTACCCTGATACCAAAACCAGACTAGAAAACTATCAAAAAACCCAAACCTGTTGCCGTCGAGCAGATTCCAACCCATAGAGACCCCACAGGACAGAGCAGACCTGTCCCATGAGGTTTCCAAGGCTGTTATCTTTACAGAAGCAGACTGCCATATCTTTTGCCCACGGAGTGGGCTGGTGGTTTGAACTGCCCAACTTTCAGTTAGGAGCTGAGCACTTAACCACTGCGCCACCAGGGCTGCTTCCAGAAAACTACAGACCAATATTTTTTATGAATATGGATGCAAAAAATCCTCAACAAAATACTAGCAAATCCAGCAACATATATAAAATAAATATACACTATGACCAAGTGGGATTTATTTACCCCAGGAATGCAAGGTTAGCTTAACATCTGAAAATTAATGTAATACGTCATATGTATAGGATGAAAACGAACGTGATTTATATCATTAAAAAAAACTCTGTCCTGTGAAAAACATAAAAACCGTTAATATTAGTGTTTCTACTGTCTACTCCTGTAAGTATCAACAATAACTTAACTATATCTTACATTATTCAAAAATCATGTTTGCTTTAAAACAGATTCATATGTATTATTTGACAAAAATTAAACAAAACCCTACCCAACGTGAGGGATCGCTGATCAAATTAATAAACAGTGCTGAGAGTTTAGTCCGTCGGATCTCTTGACACGTCGCACAGGAAACGGCCATGAAGCACTCGGCACAAGCCTTCCGAACGCCCCACACGTTATCAGAACAAAGCTGGAAAAACCTGGGCAGCTACGCAAGGAGGACAGAGGGGTGTTAGGCAAATAAACAGAATAGGTTTCATTAATTACTTTTATTTCATTTTCTGCTTTCACAGTGTTTTAAAGTATCAGATTTTCTTAACAAGAAGACCTACTTAGTATTAATACTCAATAATTTTATATAAATCACACCTAACTGACAATACAACTGACTACGCAATAGAAAAACATCCCCAACAAACACAGCTTAAATGTTATTCAGGAGCTTGGATTTGAACTTGGTTTGCATAACAGATGGTTTCAAAACTGCTTCAAGTACATTAACTTGTACACCAAGCCTACATATCTCACGTAATGACATTTAAAAAACAGCCTGCTGCAGATATAATAAGTTACCAAAATACTGTGAAGGTTGCTTACAGATTCCACTGAATGAACTGGAATTGATCTGTTTCACAGAGGTGAGGAGAGGGGAGAGGTAAAAGGGATCCAGTGGTTCTTACACACGCCTGCATGTTTTAACAAACCGTCCTTATCAAGACACAATTCAAGTGCCCAGATTATAGAATTTTAAACTCCTAAACTTGAAGCCATATGATCTTTGTGGTTTACATTCATGAGATTGGCTAATAAAATTTTGGGGTACACACATGCATTTCAGACTTTACACACTGCTTAATACATTCTCACTCCTTCGTATCTGCAGTACTTACCAACATTTCCTCAGTAGCTTGCTGGCCAACTACACTGCAAATGTCTCCAAAATTGGCAGCACAGACCTACCAACAAAACACATCATCGACATTTCCAAATATTACATACAGAGTTCTTTAAAAAGAATGTTCTAAATGTCATGTATCAATACATTAACCACTAGAACCATGCGTTCTTAAACAGAAAAAGACGGACTGCAGAAAATACCTTCCGAACGTGAAACATTCTGCAGTCACAGCACATCTCCGAAAACCTGGGGAGGATGAGGCGCTCGGTGAGACCCTTCCCAACCATGGGGGCCATTCTGCACATTATCTGAAATAAGCAAGAACAAAGTCACACTGAAAGTATCTTCAAACTAAGACTTCTTCAGTTAAGTTTCTTAACTTAAGACAATATAAACTAGGATATGGCATCATTATACTGCATAAATCACAGGAAAACATTCACAGCAGCTTATTAATCCCATCTTGTATATCCAAGTAGGAAACAGAAAAATTCAGTTGAACTGCTACAACAAAATCAAGCAATAAATACTAAATACACAGTAAACCTACAGAAAATCCTAACACTTTCAATGTTTATAATTTCAACCTATTATTTTGCCAGGTAATTATCAATTCAAAAAAAAAAAAAAAAAGGTGACTCTTCCAAAGGAAAGATTATCTATAAGAAGGATCTTGGTTTAGCACACCTATATTGCTCAGAAAAGACTGTAAAGACATACAGCTATTAGTCTCTTCCCATCTAGGGCAAAAGAAGATGAAGGAAACCAAAGACTCAAAGAAGAAACTAGTCCACGGGACTAACAGCCCACAAACTATGGCCCTTTCTAGCCTGAGCCCTGAAGAACTAGATGGTGCCCGGCTACCACTACCAACCGTTCTGACCAGCAACACAATAGAAGGTCCCGGGGAGAAATGAAGAAAAATGTAGAACAAAACTCAAAGTCCTAACAAATACCAGAGTGACTGGACTGACAGAGACTAGAGGAACCCCCAAGACTATTGTCCTAAGATACCATTTTAACTCAGAACTGAAGTCACTCCAGAAGGTCACCTTTCAGCCAAATAACAGACTGGCTTATAAAATAAACAGTACCACCTGTGAGGAATGTGCTCCCTTGAACCATCAACTACAGGAGACCAAATGGTCAACATTTACCCAAAAGCAAAGATGAGAAGGCAAGGAGGGGCAGGAGAAGCTGGATAACTGGCAACAGAACAAACAGAACGGAAATAACGAGAACGCTGACACACCGTGAAAACTGTAACCGATGCCACAGGACAATCTGTACAGAAATCGTTAAATGGGAACCTGACTGGCTGTGTAAACTAAAACACAATAAAATATTAAAAAAAATCAACTAAGGATGGTGGGTATCTGTTAAGAAGATTAGATTACAAAACCAAAACTTTTTGTTTTTTTAATTGTGCTTTGGGTGAAAGTTTACAATTCAACTTAATTTCTCATACGAGAATTTATACACATATTGTTATGTGAACCCAGTTGCTCTCCCTATAATGTGACAGCACACTCCCCCGTTCCACCTCGGGTTTCCCACGTCCATCCAACCAGCTCCGATCCCTCTCTGCCTTCTCGTCTTGCCTCTGGCCAGAAGCTGACCATTTAGTCTCATGTATCTACTTGAACTAAGAAGTACACTCTTCACGAGTATCATTTTTATGTCCCATAGTCCAGTCTAATCTTTATCTGAAGAGTGGGCTTCAGGAATGGTTTTAGTTCTGGGTTCACAGAACGTCCAGGGGCCATGGCTTCGGGGGTTCCTCCAGTCTCAGTCAGACCATTAAGTCTGGTCTTGTTCCGTGAATTTGAGTTCTGCTTCGCACTTTTCTCCCGCTCCGTCAGGGGCAAAACTAAACTTCTGTCTGAATAAACGACCACTCTGTTTCTGCATATGAACAGTAAGAGAAAATATACAGGGCCTGGTATTTCCTTGGCAAAAAATTCATTTGCTCAACATAAAAATAAATACATAGTTGAAGCCTTTAAAAAGGCTATACAGGCAGACCTCACCTTACAAAGTACTGTAAACTAAACTCAAGCATATCAGACCACTGTCCTCACTTTGCAAAGCCTCAATCATCCAAACCAAGGACACAGTTTCAAGATGCACACGTTTCACAGGTAACACAGTACTGGGCAAAGTGAGGACTGACTGTACTTGAAAACTGGCCCTACATTATTTAAATAAACATTCCCTAAAGTTACTATAGAAAGAAATCTGCTAATGGGCTACAACTACCATGGCCTCCACCAGACTGAGTCTGACTGTACTTGAAAACTGGCCCTACATTATTTAAATAAACATTCCCTGAAGTTACTATAGAAAGAAATCTGCTAATGGACCACAACTACCACAGCCTCTACCAGACTGAGTCCAGCACAACTAGATGGTGCCTGGCTACAACCACCGACTGCTCTGACAGGGATCACAATAGAGGGTCCTGGACAGAAATGTCGAAAATGTAGAACAAAATTCTAACTCACCAAAAACAAACAAACAAACAAAAAAAAAAAAACCCAGACTTACTGGCCTGAAAGAGACTGTAGAAACCCCAAGAGTAGGCCCTCGGACACCCTTTTGACTCAGAAATGAAGTCACTCCTGAGTTTTACCCTTCAGCCAAAGATTAGACAGGCCCATAAAACAAAACAAGACTAAAGGGACACAACAGCCCAGGGGCAAGAAAGAACTAGAAGGCAGGAGGGGACAGGAAAGCTGGTAATAGGGAACCCAAGGTCGAGAAGGGGAGAGTGTTGACATGTCATGGGGTTATTAACCAATGTCACAAAACAATATGTGTACTAATTGTTTAATGAGAAGCTAGTTTGTTCTGTAAACCTTCATCTAAAGTAAAATTTAAAAAAAAGATGTAGAAAGAAATCTGATGGTCTGTCATCATTTATCTATGACATCTACTCCTAACCTACGTAAAAGGCATATAGAGTAGAAACAAAGAACTAAAACTGTCTATTCATAGATGACATGATTATCCACATAAAAAACCCAAGGCATTTACAAAGAAGCCACTAGAACAAATAAGTGAGTTTAGGAAGGTTGCAGAATTCAAGTCAGAACACAAAAATCAATTGTTTCCTTTACAACAACAAAAAATTGATCTTTAAAAAAAAAAAAAAATTGTTTCCCAGAAGCTTAGCACAATATGGGGCCCACAGAAGATACACATTTTCCCTTGTATGCCTATAACAGCCCCTTCTAGCCCTGCATTTCATTTAAAATTTAATGAGCTGTGGCTACTTTAATAGATACGTGTTAAACAAGATAAACCCTATAGCATGTGATATGATATAACATTTAAGCAATTAACGCGCAGCACTTATGAATATACCTCGCGGGAGAGGGTGTGGCCAGCAAACAAATGGAGAAGGCGCACGGTATTTGCGTAAAAATATGGTATTAGTCAAGACAGTCATATTTTATCTAAACTGAAAAATCACACTCTACTCACAGCCACGGCTTCTGTCTTCACGTCATCATTGCTATCTGGAGCCGTCAGTTCTATGAGGACTGGGCAAACTCTAGTCTCCACGTCAAATCGCTCAATTAGCTCCTGTTCCAGCAACGCCAGCAAAGCTGCCTGACTTGTTTTTCTCACCTGGGAAACAAAGTATAAAATAAGTACACACATGATGTAACAAACCCATCACTTGATGTTTATAAATTTGATGGTTTCTCATCTCAAAGGAATTCGTAACTGGCCAAATCTGCAGATAAAGAGTTAGGGATACTTTCCTCAACTAGAGCAAAGATGCAACTTGGTCAAATCATGACAGATTAAGTTGAACATAAAAGCCATCCTTGTCAAAGACGTCACAACGAACAACGAACATCAGGACGGACACCTATGAGGGTACCAAGTCAGAGTGCAGCCCCTAGGTGTCGTCCGTAACAGCATTAGAAGAGGCTGGCTAGATTTGGCAGACTCTTGACACATCTTGTCATTTTTGAAGAACAATAATGAAGGCAAAGTAAAAAAAAAAACCAAAACATTTAAACGAGGCCACTTAGGCTACATACATTACACTACACAGATTTTCGTTGAGAATGTGTAAATGGAACTCTTACCTGATTGTTCTGGTCTGCTAGATATCTAACCACAATAGGCAGTAAGTATTTGGAAAAAGCGTACGGGATTGAAGGCCGGTTTTCTTGACAAAACAGTGCAATATGAGGCACCTGTTCCATCAGCTCCGCTCTCACAGTTGGTTCTATTAAAATAACAGAAATGTGAGCAAGCAAACCTTTATCTGGCCTTGAGACTACTTAGGAAAGCTTTGGACTTTCATCTTAAACTTACGAAAATGATCTGTAACTCTACAACCCTTTTCACAGTCCTACACAGGTTAGCTTCCTGAGGGCAAGGAGGGCCTATCCTCTGCCCAAGCTTTTATCACTCATACAATGCACCCAGTACACATCTATTTCTGAAAATGAATGTGTTCATCAGCTTGAGTGTACCACACCGCGCTGGAGGTTAGATATCTGATATCCACAGCAATACTACAGCACGGCAACTGGATATTATCTGTAAGCTTTCTTCTAGTTAAGAATCTCCTAGAACAAGTCATAAAGACTGCTTCCTAATCGCAATTTAGTCAGACTTAGTTAGACTTAACCAAGACTAAAAGGGGTGAGTGAATAATAAATTAGACCAAAAAAACCCTGAAGAGTATATATGGCAAATCTGAATGTGAGAACGGTGGCATTTCCAATCTCTGAGTTTAAAAACAATGAACTGTCCAATAAATAATGGTGGGAAATCAGCTACCTATGTAAGGAAAAAAAAGGTAAGATTCCTACTGTGCACCATACATAAATTCTAGGTGAATTAAAATTCTCAACTTTTTAAAAAAAATAAACATCAAAAGCACTGAAAGATAATATTTTTTAAATGTTCACTCTTGAGGCATGAAGCATTTCCAAAGCAAACAAAACTTAGAAAGCAACTAAAAGATCAACTAATTTCATTTTAGGAAAACTTCACTATAGACAACAGATACCATACTTAAAAGGCAAAACCGCCTGGGAGAAAAATACATGTATGATAAACTATTAATAACCTAAATACATAAATAACCCATTGTTCAAATAAACACAAGAAAGAAATAAAGATACAAATAGGCAATTCATTGCACTGAAGAAATGCAAGTGGTTAAAACACATAGAGACATAATGGATTATCAGTAACAAGTCATTACATTAAACCTAATTAGAAGTTTGGTCCCTATTAATGATAATAATCAAGGAGCCGTGGTGGTGCAATGGTTAAGTGCTGGGCTGCTAACTAAATATCAGAGGTTTGAACCCACTAGCGACTCCCTGGGAGAAAAGACATGGCAGTCTCCTCCCATACAGGTAACAGCCTAGGAAACTCCACAGGGCAGTTCTACTCTGTCATATAGGGTCGCTGTGAGGCGGAACTGACTTGACAGCACGCTGTTCAATAATGACAGTCACACCATTAAAGTTACCTTAAGGTAATTATCACAGTGATCCCGTAAGTCAGAATCAACTCGACAGAACCTAACAAGGTAAATATGCATGGATGTGTCCAGTAGGACTTTAGACCTCAACAAACAGAAATTAGCACAGGTATCAGGAGAAAATATACTAACATTTTACAAAGCTAAGAATCTTATCAACGAACCAATATCTGGAATTTTTAATACACTGTGGTACCATCTGAAGTGAGACAGTATGTGAGCAAAGTAGACTGCTTCCGTTCAGAAGAAGAAAAAGGTATCCCCCCCAAAAAAGTAGAATAGACCACTACTCTCTTCACTGATCTTGAATTTACTAGATTAACACTGACCTCATTACTTATATATTTGAAACAAAAGAAGGTCACAAGTTACAGTTTCAGTAAGAATTAAATCAGTAACTTTTTGCTTTCTTTCTTCAAAGCCCTGCCTAGGCAAACAGACTAACGGAACAAAACAGAGTCCAGAATAGACCCATGCACATATGGTCAACTGATTTATTAAAAGGTATCACTGCAGGGCAACTGGGGGAAATCTTTTCAATGACTGGTACCAGGTCTACTGGCTATCCGTATTAAAAAAAGAAAGCAAGCAATGAAATAAACTTGTCCCCTACTTCGTATCATACACAAGGCGAAGTACAGGTAGAACAGAGATCTAAATGTCAAAGGCAAAGACAATATGGTATCTAAGTTAGATAATATAGGAGAAAAAAAAACATGACTTTACAGTAGAGAAAAATTTCTTCAATAGTGCACAAATTGTGCTACCCGTAGAAAGAACTTCTCAACTAGATGATGCCCAGCTACCACTACCGGCCGTTCTGATCAGCACCACATCAGATTCTTCAAAAGTGCAGACTTACTCGACCAACTGAGACCAGAGGACTCCCTGAGACTATTGTCCTGAGATACTATTTAAACCCTGAACCGAAACTATCTCCCCTGAGGTCTCCTTTTAATGAAATAACAGATAGGCTCACAAAATAAAGGATATTGCCTGTGAATACAGGGCTCCGATAAAAAACCATCTATATGAGACCAAAAGGTCAACAATTCCTCTAAGGTGGAGACGAGAAGATAAGGGAGCAGGGAAACCTAAGCACTGGAAATGGAACAACCTGAATGCAATTAAAGAGAATGTTGACGCAAATGTGAAAATGTAACTGAACAATCTGTATAGAGATTGTCAAACAGGAACCTAATTCACCATGTAAACTTCCACAACAACACAATAAAATAGTATTTTAAAAAAAGAGAGAATTTCTCTTCCTCAAGAAGCACCATTAAGAGAGAGAAAAGACATGCTACAGAGTGAAAAAGATACCTAAAAAAGACATCAATGACACGGGGCTCATAACCAGAACGTAGCAGGAATTCCCGCAAACCTGTAAGAAAAGGACTGCCAACAATAACGAAGGGGAGGGAGGAGCAAGAGACGTGAACAGACACTTCCAAAAAGACGGGACGAAAGCATACAACCAGGGGCTCAATTCCACTGGTCACTGGGGAACGTAAACTAAAACCACAGTGAGATACCACCACACACCTATCCACTCCCCTTCGGCAAATTTAAGATACACAAGCACTGGTAAAGATATGAAACAAGAGAACGCTCACACACTGCTGGCAGGTCGAGACTAGTACACAACCTGGAAATCCCCATGGCGTATCTACTGAAGATGCATATAGGCAAACCCTCTGACCTCCTAACTCTACTCCTGCTTACACCCACTCCTCACTTACCAATATAGCTAGTTCCAAAGACCAGTTGTTCTGCAAAAATTGGCATTATGTGAAAATGGAGGGCTTTTTCGTGTTTCCAGATCATTCATTTGTCGGATCTTTTAAATTTAGAAAATACAATCACAGAAATAATAACAGCCAAGATTCACTGGTGTGCTCATCACTGTGAAGAGTCCAGTTACGGATTATCCCTCTGTGAAGAAGGGGGTGTGGAGAAGACAAAGCTGGATAGAGCTGGGCTGTGTAACTGGAGGGCCCAGGGCTTAACCCCTTCCCCTTCCTCCTGTGCTGGGTCAGAGCTTCCAGCATGGAGCTGCCTCCAGGCTCCACTCCCACCCCTGCAAGCCCGGCTCTGCCCTCCAGGCCTGGTGAGTCACCAAGGCTCCAGGCTCAGGGCTTCCTGCAAGGGAGATGGGAGCCTGGCCACTCACCCGGCCCCACCAAGGTGGAGGCTTCAGGCCCAGTTGGACTCACTTTGCGATGTCATTAAACTCACATGCATTTCTTCCAAACACCCTCTGCGATGCCTCCTGCTTTCCTCCCTTCCCACTTCACATGAATTCTGAGCTGCAAGCCCTCAGGCCGTGTAGGACCTGGGAACCCAAACAGGAGCCAGCTGGCTGGGTGCTGCCTGTGTGTCTGCCCCAAGACAATGGCCATGGAGGAGGCCGGCCCCTCATGTGGCAGCTGGACACGGCGCCTCCTCCTGCAAGAGGGAGTAGAGGAAGTGGGGCAACACGGCCCAGCTTCCTGGAAGCCACCCAGAGACTGTCCTGGAGGGAAGGGACGCTCCGGAGCTGCTGCTGCCTTGCCCGCCACCTTGCTAATGCGTGAAATGGACGGATAGTAGATTTTTTACTGTTGTTGTAAATTTGAAATGCTGGGTAACGAGAAAGTCAGTAAGTGAGGAGTGGGTGTGTACACCTACAGACACCTACAGCAACGTGTGCACATGTGTGCCAAGTGGCTCCTTTGCTCACAGTGGCGCTAAGAGCCCAATGCTGGAAGGAATCCATATGTCCTTTAACAGAACAATGGGCAAATATACTGCACTCTAGTCATACAACAGATTAGTGTATAACAGAAGAAAAATTAATAACTATAGCTACGTGCAACATGAATTTCAAAATATAAAGAACCCAGATATAAGAGAATACATTCAGCATAAAATACCCACTGCCGTCAAGTCATAGCGAACTCATAGAACACGGCAGAACTGCCCCATGGGGATTCCAAGGTGCGGCTGGTGGGTTTGGACTGCTGATTTTTTGGTTAGCAGCTGAGCTTTTAACCACTGGGCCACCAGACCTCCATTCAGCATAGGTCCATACAAAGTTCAGACAAGCAAACTAATGTATAGTTTTAGCGGTCAAAATGGTGATTACCTTTGCAGAAGAGGAATGGGATAGAAATTAGAGTTGCAAGAAAAATGTTTCTGGGATGCTAGTTCTATTTCTTAAGCTGAGTACCAGTTACATGGGCATTTATTTTGTAATACTTCAATTGAGCTGTGAATTTAGATTCCATGTACTTTTTATAGTGTGTTATTAAAAAGAACAAAAATATCTGCTTCAAATATGTTATTTCCAAAACCTTGGGTATACACACCAGGGTTTCAAATTCATACATCCAGGCATAGTCTGAGAACTGCTCCCCTGCCCCAAACACACACATACACATTCAAGAAATTAACATAAAATTACTCGTCGTTTCTAACAACTCTGAGCCTGTAGAACAACTTAAAACCGCTTGAAGAACACTCCTGCAATGAAGGGTGAACCAAACACCAAATTCCCATGAAGATCTAGTGAAGATGAGCTTACAGTCCAAAACTGTAAAGATGAGCTTACAATCCAAAACTGTAAAGATGAGCTTACAATTCAAAACTGTAAAGATGAGCTTACAATCCAAAACAATAAAGATGAGCCTACAATCCAAAACAATAAAGATGAGCCTACAATCCAAAACAATAAAGATCAGCCTATAATCCAAAACTATAAAAAAAAATCCCTCAGGAGCAAAATGATTAAGACACGAGTATTATAACACCAACTTCAGCCATCATAAATAATCTCTAGAGGTTACAACCATTTTAAACATTCTATTTTAAAGGTGTAATAAGAGGAAATATAAGAAAAGAACATAAGAAAAACAAGATCTGAAAACAAAGCACATAAAGCTCTTTAAAATGAAAAATGGAGTTAACCAAAATCAAAAACTCAAAGTGAGATGGTAGATTAGAATTTGGTAGCAGTTAGTTTGCTAAGAGGAATTACCAAAATGCAGATGGGAAATAAAGGAAAATTCAATACATTTATCTAACAGGAGTCCTGTATTCTGAACCATGTAAAAAATACCTGTAAGAACACAACAACTTTAAAAGAAGAAAAAATAAGGAATTTGAGATGGAGGAGAGGCAATATTCAAAATGTTAATGGTTGAAAATTTCCTACAACTGATAGAAAGGCAAGAATCCTCAAATTTAAGAAGCAAGGCAAGTCCTGAATAGAATAAATAAAAATAAATCTCTATCTAAATACATCATAGTGAAACTGCAGAACATCAAGGACAAAAGATCTCAAAATCAATCAGGAAGTAAAAACAATATTATCTACAAAGACAAATTTAAATTAGCAAACTCCTCAAGTAATAATAGACAACACTATCAAAATTATTATATCAAATACCAAATAATATAATATCAAAAATATCAACCAGATTTCTACACTTAGCTAAACGATCATTTAAGAGTAACGGTGAAATAAACACATTTGCAGACAAAGAGAAAGAAATGCGTCAGTACCAGGCCCTCATTAGATGTCCTTTCAGAAAGGAAAGTGAACCAGAACAGTGTAGGATAAAGGATGTACTGATGAGGAATAAAACGGGAAAGACTGGGAGTGAGTCTAAACAAGAATTTAGTATGTAAAATAATATGGATGATAAATGTAGGGGATATAAAAAAAAATCAAGATAAAAGTTGATTAAAGATAAGGCAGAAGAAATATTTAAAGGTCCTAGGTTAAGCTCCTCGTTCCTTTTAAGAGAATGGATAGATTCACTTTAGAGTTACATATTTTTCACAGTCTTTCTCTTACTTGAACAACATCATAACCAACGCCACCTACCAAGTTAGAAACCTTCAGGTCACCTCCTCCCTCTTCCTTCACTCCCTCAACCACTACGGTGGCTCTGGAATTCCTCGCCAACACTTCAGTTTCTTTCAAACACCTTGTCCTCAGGACAATGACCAGTCTCCCAGTTAGTCTCCCTGCCATTCACCTTTTTCATTAGGTTCAATCCACACTGCTGCATCACTGTTCTAAATAACAAAACACACAAACTCTCCAGCACGGCATATTATTAGCCTTTACAATCTAGCCCTCACCTACTTTATTTACCAGCCTCATTTTCTAAACTACGTAGACTCAGCAGACTCCTCAGGGATGACCAAACGGGCCACTATCTTGGACTCATCAAAACCTGGCTACCCCTCGACCGAGTACGCCCTTTTCCCTTTCTGATCCTCACCATTTTGTCAAATCCAACTCAGATGTTGCTAATTTTTTTTTAAACCAGCCCCAATCCTCCCCATTACAATGTATTGTTTATATGTTGGCTGCGTTCACTAAACTGTTAATTCTATGACAAAAATTCTTATTCATCTTCACAACTGCTCTAGCATCTCATCTAAAACTTGGCCCAGAGTGTGCACTGTTCTACGCCGACTGAACGAATGGGAAGTGCGAATGTCAACAGAGACATTTATCATGAACATCACAACTTGAGAACGTATTAAAATACACACATAAAAGATTAAAAATACACACATATAAAAAAACAGCATAGAGTCAGTAAACAATGGAACTAAAATACTGAGATATTTACTTGTCATTAACATAAATACAAATTTCTACTTAAAGAATATCTATGTCTTTACTAAGAAAGGAATACAGTAGGCTGCAATAGCACCACAAATTTAAGGTAAATTGTTATATTCCTGATAAATCAAAAAATCTATTAAGTGAAAATTATACTTGATGAGACCCTCTTAAACCTATCTGGAACAAGCACATACATAAGCAGTTATGTACACAGAGGACCATCATGAGATAGATTAGTAGTAATCGTCACAAGTTCTTTCTACCCTATACAAGAATAAAAAAAAAAATATTTGAGGCTTATATAAATAGTAAACATATTCCTATGAACTGAATTGCTTACCAAAAGATTTGCACATCTAAAAATTAAAAGATGAGACTTGATGACAAGAAAAGTTTTTCAGAGATTGAAATATAACACATTTTAATAGTTATATGAGACTTAAGAAAAAAATTATTTTTGAACTATTTTTAAAATCAAGTATAAAAAATCCTTAAAACTAGTATTGACATCAACGTTTTATAAGGCTCAATTTAAATTTACCTTTTTCTTTTTTTTAATATTTTATTGTGTTTTTGGTGAAGGTTTACACAGCATTTTAGGTTTCCATTCACCAATGTCTACACAAACTGTTCAGTGACATTAGTTACATTTTTTCACAATGTGTGAACATCCTCATTGTTTCTGTTTTGGTTGTTCCATTTCCATTAATCTAGTTTCCCTGCCCCCTTACATTCTCCTCTTTGTTTTAAAGTAATTGTTGATCGTTTGGTCTCATAGAGATGAGTTTTAAAGGAGCACAGCACTCACACGTGATATTCTTTCTTTTGTGAGCTAATCTGTTACTCAGCTAAAACGTGCTCTCAGAGGCTAGTTTTGGTTCAAGGTCGGAAGGATATCTCAGGGCAATAGTCTCGAGGAGTCCTCCAGCCTCGACCAGTCCAGTTAGTCTTTTTTTTTTTTTTCTTTTTTTGAAATTTGAGGTTCTGTTCCACATTTTTCTTTCATTGTATTAGGATCCATCTATTGTGGCCCTGGTCAGAATGGTCAGTAGTGGTAGGCGGGCACCATCTAGTTCTTCTGGTCTCAGGGTAGTTTGTATAGACTATTAGCCCTGTAGACTACTTTCTTCTGTAAGTCTTTGGTTTCCTTTTCTCTTTTGTTCTGGATGAGTAGAGACCGATAATTGTATCTTAGATGGCTGCTTGCAAACTTTTAAGACCCCAGACACTATTCCTCAAATTAGGATGTAGAACATGAATTTTATGAACTATATTATGCCAACTGAACAAGATGTCCCACAAGACTTCGGTCCTAATCCTTCAAACCCAGGAAACCAATCCCATGAGTGTTTAGTTATATCTAAGAAGTACCCGTAACTGTGCCCCTATGTGCTTTGTTATATATATGAACATATATGCATAGTCACATACATGCACATCCAAAAACCCACTGCTACTGAGTCAATTAGACTCACAGCGACCCTGCGGGACAGATTAGAACTACCCTATAGGGATTCCAAGGCTGTACATCTTTACTGAAGCACACTGCTCCATCTTTCTCCTGTGGAGTGGCTGGTGGGTTCGAACTAACCTCTCCGTTAGCAGCTGAGTGCTTAACCACTGCGCCACCAGGGCTCCTTAAACATGCATACACACAGGCGTAAGCCTACATATACATACATATATGCTCACAAATACATACCTATACACATACTCGTCTACATACATACATACCTGCATATACATTTCTAGGTTATTATTGCTGTTGTTTCAAAATTACATATGCCATAACAATTAACAAAAGTCCTTTTTCTTGTATACATTTTAATGACATCGTTTACCTTTGTCAAGCTGTGCACACTTCACCCTCCTTCAGTGTTAGCTTTCCCAACACCAAAAATAACAAGTGTCTCCTATCTAAAGAGTGAATCCCCCTCCCCACATCACTGGTCACCACTAATGAACTTTAGTTTCTGTATATTTACCTGTTCATGTCATTTCAGAAAAGTGAGAATATACAATGTTTGTTTTTTGGGGATTGACTTAATTTCGCTCAACATAATGTCCTCCAGGTTCATTCATGCTCCAAGAGGTTCTCGGAACTCATTTTCCTTTATTTCTGAGCAGTATTCCATTGTATGTATGTACTACATTTTACTTATCCATTCATTTGTTGATGGGCTCTTAGGTTGTTTTCATCTTTTTGCTACTGTAAATAGTGCTGTGATGAACAGAGGTGTGCACATGTCTGTTCGTGTTGTTTCTTAGACCCCTGGGGTACACACCTGGCAGTGGACTTGCTGGGTCACATGGCAGCACCACCTCTAGTTTTTTGAGGAACTACCAGACTGTTTTCCACAGTGGCTGTACCGTTTTTCATTCCCACCAGCAATGGATGAAGAATCCAATTTCTCCACATTCCCTCCAACACTTATTTTCCTTCTTTTTAAAATCTTAGCCATCCTAGTGGGAGTGAAATGTTCTCTCACTGTGGTTCTGACTTGCATTTCTCTGATGTTAAGCATATTTTCATGTGTCTGATAGCCATCTGAATATTCTCTTTGGTGAAGGGTCTGTTCACATGCTTTGTCCAGTTTTTGACTGGAAGTTTACCTCTTTCTTAAGCAGACTCTCTTCACTTTGGAGACAAAATGGCTTTAATTTCACAAAATGGGTGAGGAACATTTTTTTATAAGTGAGACAGCATAGAAAAGAAAGTATTTACACTGCCTAACCAATTTACAACCCTCTCTATCCCTTTTAATTTATTCTAAATTATTTTTAAAACATTTGTTTTGATGAGAAATTTCCACAATTAAACTAAATGGGCCTACTATAAAATGTTCGGGTGTTGGTAATAGATTTTTATTGTTTGTTTCTTCTTCTAGTTAGTGAAGCGTTTGATAACTGATTTAGAAAATCTTTTAAAGAAATATTACCATTTTCTCAAATCACACTAACCTTTTCATTAGTTTTTAGACAAATCTGGTAAAAGAAACCGAACAGTAAAAAAACAGGGTAAGTCTGCTTTCTCTCTGTAAACAATATACCTGAATCATCAGCTAATCGGCTAATTCTTTCCAAAACAGCAATACAATCTCTTTCATCATCGCTGACTTCCCTCAATGTATCCAGCAAACCCCGGGCCACCATCTGTCTACACAGAAAAAGAAGAATATAAAATGTTCAGTGGCATCAGTAGTTAACATTTAGAATTTTAAAACACAGGATTTTTTTTTTTTTTAAATTAGGCACATTATTTCCTAAGTGGTAAATGCTAGTACTGATTTTATTTTAATGAGACTGAATAATTTATCCAAAACATTTTTTCTTATCTTTATCTAGCTGACTTAGCAAATTTCTAAGGTCAATAGAAATTCATTTTAAACAATTATCCTTTGAATATCATGATAATAACACAATCATTCTTCATTATACAAAATGTTATTTTTACATTTTTTTTTACTAATATGAGTTGTGTACATCTATACACAAATATATTGAGCAAAGACTTTAATTTTCCAGAAAAGTCTGTTACAGGTGGTCTGGAGGCCATAATTGGAAAAACTGCATTAGGAGAGTGTCAGCTGCTGGTCACTGCTGTGATCTAATCCCCTTGAACATCACCTGGCTCGTAAATGGGCTGAAGGAATAAGACTTCCCAAAAATCAATTAACACGAACACCAAAATTAGACCAGGCAGTGTTTCGTTCTGTTGAACATACGGTTGTTATGAGTTAGAACCAACTCGACGGCACCTAACCACCACCACCACCACCAAAATTATGCTAAATGGCAAGAAAGAAAGAGTTTCTTTTTTTGGCAGAAAACAAGGGAAGTGCTATTGCTTATTAGAATCAAGGAGTAAACAACTAGAAACAGGCCACGTCTGTGATTATTCATAAAACCTGAGACTTAGATTGTGCGGGTTAATAATACCTCTTTAAATCGGGTAATTTTACTTTTCCCTGCTGAAATTAATGTGATAAAATTTATCCTTCCACTCCCCCTTCAATCAAAAGAATATGCACATACCTGTTAAATACGTTCTCACTTGCAGCATACTTGTCCAATCTTCCCAGTGGCGTCAACATTTCATCTTGTGAGACAAAGTCCAGGGCTGAAGGTACAATAATCACATCAGACTCTGAGCTGTAGTCATCCACACCAACTATCAGAGACATCAGAAATACTCCTTATAACACTTTGAAACTAAAAGGTACCCCTTGCCCGTCTGAAGCAGCATAGCTAGAACTGCCCCTGACGTTTCTGAAGTGGTACACAGAGTCACAGGAGAATCAATCCAGAGGTCATGAGCAAACAAAGCATGCTTCCTCTCCTTTTTCTACAGACATTTTCTAGCTGCCCCAAGAAGCACAGAGGTCAGAGGCTATAGAAACTCAGCATGGGGGGAAAGGGTGAATAGAGTGATGACAGCTGGTACTTTCAATCAAAACACTAACCACTTGTGAATCAATAAAGTCCAACAATGATAAAGTTAATTCTGCAATGTAGAAGAGAAAGCTAATCTGAAGTGATTCAATATGGGAAAGCTAAAACCATCGGCATATTTAACTAAATAAATATTTATTAAGTACATTAAGTGCCAAGTATCAGGCTGGATGTTGAGAGATAAACAACAATCAAAACACGAAGGTCTCCGCCTTCAAAGAACTAACAGTCTAGTGAAAAAACAACAGATTTTAAAATGCTCATTGTAAAGGAAGGAATGTGCAAACCGCAACGCCAGAAACCCGTTCTGGCTGCAGGAACAGCGGGCAGGCCAAGGAGTGGCCGATGCGGAAGCAGGCAGTGGTCGGTTCAGAGGCGTTAACATGCAGCGTGCTTGGCAGTGTGATCAGACAGCATCTACTGCCAAAGGAGTCAAGAGGGAAGCTGCAAGGTGAGCACTGAATTTG